TCCCCACGTCACAAAATTTGTCCAGACTACCCAGCAAAATGTATTCCTGCAATTTCATCTAAACTTTACAAGAGTGATCAGTATCATGTACAGTCGGCATTTTCTAATTCAATATTTTTTGTCAGAGTTATGGCCCTTCAATGATTTTTATTTTAAAGGTTTTCAGGACTACATCTCTTGTACCACTAATGTAATTTGAACGAAACTTCACAGGACTGATGGATGCCTCAGTACTTGTGCATTTTACACAAGTTTTCCAGTTGAAAACTTTTTGGCAGAGTTATGGCCCTTGAATGAAAAAAACAACGTTTTTGCCTGTTCATGATTTTATATCGCCCGCTACACAGTAGCTGATACATGTTACAAAGTAGCAATGACTTATAATGAAGGATCACTTCTCCGTCGGCTGTCTGTCTGTCTGTCTGTCTGTCTGTCTGTCTGTCACAAAACTTGTCCGAACTATACACTCCTCAAAATCTGCTGGTGCAATTTTATCCAAACTTTACAGAAATAAACAGTACGAAAGTTTAGTTGTCCCAGTTAAATGATTTTTGTCATAGTTATGGCTCTTTATTATTATTATTTTAAGTTTTGAGTTATCTGCTCTTATACTTTTAATAACTATTGGTCCAACTCTTTTGTATGTACATTGTATTTATGCTTAAGATGGTGCTGTTAAATTGCGTTATACGACTATACCCCAGCAGAGTTATTCAAAAAATGTCTTCTTACGTCTGTAAGACACTTTTAAATAACCGTTACTTTCCTAGTGGGTTTATTACAGTTGAAATGTATGGTGTCCTGTTTGGGCCAGTTAAAGGACTCTTTCTTTCTTTCCTATAGTCTTGCCCCGCCTTTCTGTACCTATAGATAAAGTAGCAAGATTTTACATTCTCGCAAGAAACTTTTCGCGCCATTCGTTGAATTTGTCTCATGCTTATACTTACTCATACTTTAATCCTCGTGCTAATCAAAATGTAAAAACTTGGCGATGATTAACCTTAATTTTTTTTTTTGCCTGAACCTATTTACAGTACCAGTTTCTATAGTGAAAGTTCTTCGAAAGAGAATGTTAAATCTCGCTACTAATCTATTAACAAGAGCCAGTGCGCTGGACTGTTCTCAGTGCTTGATAGTAAAACAAGAGCCTGAATAATATATATTTTTTTAAGTTCAAAGGGGCATAGTTCTGTCAAAATTCATATTTACAATAACTCTTCTACTTTTCGAATAGTTGAGCGTAAACAAGAGATTTAGTCAATCTTAAATCGTAACAGTGATATTTTAACTGCCTCAAACAGGACACCATAGAAACTGATTGAAAGTTGTAGCAATGAATGAAATCAATTGGATGGCCATTTCCAGGAACAAAGTTACTGTTGATTTTAGCAACGACGAAACTAACAATAGTTCGTTGGATGATGATAAAACTCTATCATTTTTGGGGCATATCGTCTGACATTATAAAAAACAACAACATTAACATGACATTTACTGTCCCATCCCAACTCATAAAAAATGATCGGCCATATCCAGCTGAACATTGTGTTAAGCTACGCTTGTAAATAAGAAAACTTACCAAATTTGGGTTCCAAAACGTTATCCATTTATCCATTTAACATTGACACAAAACATGTTCAGAGATCGGTTTCAATTTCGAATGACTTAATTAATCTCACTTATGAAGGCAGGCGGTTTAACATTGTTTATCATGAATAAAAGTGAATTATGTCCGATTGAAATAAGTGCACGAAAATTCCGTGCGAATACAATTTTACCAACACCTTTCACTGCCCTAAACTTTAAGGCAATGCAAATATCTTCTATAGTTTTATATTTTCAACGTGAACATACATTAGTTTCAGTTAGATTTATATATAATTAAATGCGTTTATTAATGATACAGTTACTCTTATTTTCTTAGAAAGTGTCTTTTTACAGACTTCAAGAAGACAGTTCGCTAGGACAAACAACAATTTATTCTCGGCTTTGCCTCGGACAATTTGTTGTTTATACTAGCAAACTGTCTTCTGTAAGAAGACACTTTCGAAGAAAAACTCGTACTATTTTATATATTCATTACTTAATTTATTATGTATAGGATATCGACCGAGTACGAGGTCTTTCTGTTTAGGAAAGACCTGGTCACGAATTTCATGTGACACCGAGAGCGCGTAGCGCTCGAGGTGTTTCATGAAATTTGTGACCAGGTCTTTTCTAAACAGAAAGATCGATGTACGAGGCCGATATCCAACTTACACACCGTCAAGCAATGGCTGATTCGAAGCGCACAAAGATTATTTTTAACACAGCACATATACAAGTAAGCTTTTTTAAATATAATATATATTTTGCATTTAACTCCTTTAAATTCCATTAAAATAATAATCAAAAACTAAATGTGCAATTTGTCAATAATAAAGTCAATGGATCTGTAAGGGAAGATATATAAAATAATGAATTATTATGTTGATAGTATTTCGTATCAGTTATTGCAGATTCTAGGGACATGTGCCCCAAGACAGTTGCCCCCTCGGATATTTGCTCCTTTTTTGTGTGGTGACTTGTCCTTTGTCAGAGGTCATCTTGTATAAATTTTACGTATGCTATTTAACTATGGAAACTTTATATTTCATTTATTTATGGATGCTATTTTGTTTTCACAAATTTGCGTGAGAGTTTTGTGTATTGAAGCACAATGAAATTTCGACAAAAGGCGATGAAGAAAGTGGGGGATGTCCGCCCTTTTCAAATTTATGAGGGGGCATATGTCCGCCACTGCAAACATCCGACGGGCAAAATGTCTGGATACCCAGCAGACCACTTAAGACTTACATATGACTATTTTGGCAAGGTTGCCATACATGATCCGAAATTATATTTTATATAGCAGATTATAAAGTTTCCTAGAATAAAATTTGATCGTTCATCGTATAGATTTTTATACTAAATCACTTATCAACATTTCTTTTTCAAGATTTTTTTTCAATAATACATTTCTATCATTTCTATCGATATTTGAAATACTAATGTGAGATGTGTCCATTGTAGACCAATCCACTTTAAGTACTGTTATATGCATGTCACAATAAGCAAGTTTTTGGAGTATATCAGTACAAAATTCTTTTAACGTTCTTGTGTAGCATTCTTTTAAACTAAGCCGTGGCTTCGACAGTTTTCAGGGGATATCAGTTTGATTTTTCGCCAGTTGAATAGAAAGGAAGGATAAAGCTCAACTCGAAGAATTGGGGGTGGGGGGTAGGCGGTGGTAGCGGGGACAAAGCGTATTCGAATGGACGTTATTTGAATCATAAATGCGTTTGAAACGGACATATTTTTGTTATATTTTTTTCGATATGACTTTTTGGGAACACATTTTATGTACTATGAATTTCCAAGAACGTTTAAGATGTTATGGATTAGGTGATTTAAAATCGTATGATAACTGCTATAGTTTCATAGAAATGAGCTTGAAGCGTCCATTTGTGTTATATTGTGAAAACCGCTTATTACTTTGAAAAGTAAATGCTATATGTGTCCTAACTTTGATATTTTTATTCAAAGATTTAATATAGGGATGTTGGAATAATTGCTAAGTTTGTAAGACAGGAATATTATGACAGTCATTTACATTTTATTTTCATTTTTATTTTATTGCATTTCATGTTTATAAGCAGGTCTATTTTTTGCACGTGTTTTTCATGACCGGGTCTGTCTGACTAGAACAGACCTGTGCACGTGCAAAAGATAGACCTCATAACGGACTTTCTTTTGTTTAAACAGGTCTATCCGAAAAATATAGACCCGTCACAAACAATAGAGGAGGTGTGTAAGTACAAATATACAATAGAATACTACAAAACTAAACTTTTTTTTATCAAATTTTAGTGAACTTTGCAGGATTGATTTGTACTTTATTTTTTTTCATATTTCATGGGTTTTCCTTTTAAATGATTTTAACACAGTTATGGCCCTTGAATAAACTAACCTTACTTGTCCAATAAAAGGGAACGCAGCTTCCCATACATAGTTTATTTATTTTTTATTCAAATTAGACATAGTCTGTAAAATATTCATAGATTTTAGCTTAGTGACTTTGACAATAAAACAAACCACCTACATTGTCCCAGTAGTTCAAGAACAACTTTGCGAATTCACCTCGCCGTTCCCCCAATGGGTTGGGCGGGCCGTTGTTGCAATTGACATGTGCCTAGGCGCATGCGCATTTAAAAGAAATGGTTTTTATTTGTTTGGGTCGTCAGACCAAACAAATAATGGTAGCGAAATTTCAGACTCTAATGCTGTTAATTGCAAATGCCGAAAGTAGTCCACTTTTTTGAAGCGGTTACTTCCCTTTATATGTACACTAACGCCGAAAAATTCAGGGGAGATCACTGCGTAAAGATGGTCAAATGACAGGCGCATTAATTTTCAAGCAAAATAATTTCCGAATGGTCGAAGATTTCTAATATTGTTTTATTCTTTATAGATATACAAGCTTATAGTAAGCTCTATGATTATTTGCATCTGTGTTAAACAACAGTTAGCGTCGTTACAAACCCTAATTTAGAATAATATGGTTTTCTTCAGGCCGTAAAAATAGAAATTCACCGTGGCCGAGGGGTTTGCGCGCTCGCTTAAGAAGCGAGAGGTCTGGAGTTCAAATCCCAGTTTAGGGCGACTCATTTTTTTTCAAATTGTTTACGTCAAATAAACATTGGATTGAATATCAGTGTTGCAATTAGTGTAATAGCCAATTTACTACAATAAAACGCTGGAAAGCATTGGTGGCACTATACAAAAACAAATTGGTTTATAATCTCACAACCTGCACCTTTCTTACATTCTGAGACCAAAACAAATTCAGCGCCTTCTGTGCTTCGATTTTAATAGTGTGCTAGATACAATGTGAAAATGTCACCAACTTTTATTTTCAGAATACATTAGGTCAAGATATTTATATACATGTTCATTATAAAGAAAGGAAAGCAAAACAAATATTAAATGAGAAAAGGTTTATTCACGTGTAATATACATTTATATTAGTAATAGATCATAAAAATGTTGTCATTTATTACTAAACATTGGAAAATAAATCAAAATAATTGTCTTTAAAATTCTATAATTAACATAGAAGTTTGACAAACGTTCTGTAAATGACATTCATATGTCTATAGTTGAAGATTATTTATCAAATTAATAGCCATTCTTGTGAACATAAGTATTAAAAGTACATCCCACCAAAATTTTACTTTCACACAATACATTATCAATTCCATCGTACTTTTCTTAAAGTAATTTCTATCGTCAAACAATTTATATGCACATGTTTTTAAAACAATGCTTTTAATAAAGTGTCTACAGTAAAATAAAAATAAACTCCCCTTATGCCATTCTCGGAACGAGAATCACTTTACACACCCTATTTACACATTACCGTGAAATCACAACACGTTTTATAAATAGAATCACAGTCTCACTTTCAAACATCGCCTCGTTTTCATTTGCAACTGCTTTCCGGAAATCAATGTCAAGGTCAGAATCGTTCTTATACTGATTCAGAAATGTGATCATAACCCATTACAAAATAAGGGTATTCGTGAAAAAAAGAAATTACGCAATCACAAAGCTTTTAGAAAGCAGTGCTTTAGTTTTTGGTCTTTAAAAATTGGAAACATTTTAAAATTGATTTTAAAAGCAATCGGACAAAAATTGATCACTGAATGTTAAGTGCTAAAGAATCTCATTACTTTTTTGGTAAGAAATTTAATAAAAGCCGGCGGCATTATAGTGTCTGTAACATTGGCATATTGAAAGTAAATCTGAGGCTTTGCAATTACTTCCATCAAGGCCAAAAGCAACTTCCGGTCCTGAAATAGATATAAAAATAGCATGGTTTGTTTGTACATGTATGTGACAGTAAAACATAATTCCATTGACACAAATTTTTTAAAACTATACTTTTCGATATACGCATGCATTAAGTTGAAGGGCAAGTTTTGTTTGTGTATGTATGTGACAGTATAACGTAATTCCATTGACACAATTTTTTTAAAACTATACTTTTCGATATACGCATGCATTAAGTTGAAGGGCAAGTTTTGTTTGTGTATGTATGTAAAAGAATAACATATCCCCAATCCCATCAATTGATGCATCTGTTTAAAAATATCCTCATGCATTAAATTGTATCAAGAGTAATGGTTGTTATTTTTAAGAAAGAATATACATTATTACATGGGGTGATCAATCTTTATATAAAACATACAAATATAGTTTCTTATTCAAAGGTATTGGCCTTTATCAAAACAGATGATTTTAAATACCTTTAGAACTGATTGATGTCTATCATACAATCTGCCATCTTCTACAATGCTCTCTATTAATCTCTCATAGTCGGCTAAAAAAACAGATAAAACAGTAAATATTTAATATAAAATGTTATATGACATAAGGTAATGATATATGACATAAAGTGATATAATGTGGTAAACGGTTGATTCAAAAATGACAAAATGTGAAGACGCATAATATACGGTGGTGTAATTTGACAAACTGTGATGTTATATGACATAATGTGATGTTATATGATATAATGTGATGTTATATGACATAAAGTGGTGTTGTATGGCATAAAATGATGTTATATGACATAATGTTATGTTACATGGCATAAAGTTATGTTATGATATCAGGTGATGTTAGATGGCATAAGGTGGTGTAAAATGACTTCGATGACGTAATATGACAATGATTTTATATGACATATGGTAATACTTTAGTTTAAACAATATTTTATTTATAAACATTACATTTACATGATAATTGACAAATAATAAATAGTACGGATTGAGTATGAAGCTTGAAAATCTTTTTTAGAGACTCTTTCCGTAAATATGGTAATACTTTATTACATTCAGTAATATTAAAAGGTGATTCTGTATAACATAAAGTTATGTTATATGACATGAGGTGGTGTAATATAAGATAAGATGATGCAACCTGACCAAGATGATGTTATATGATTATGGCGTTATATGACACAAGATGAAACTATATGACATAAGTTGGTTTTTTATGACATATGGATATGTAATTTGATATAAGTCGATATTATATGACATAACTGTTTTTTTGATTTGAAATTCGTAATCACATGTGCACATGTATAAGTTCTATATGACATTAATACATTAATTAAAATATTGTTTCGATGTCATATCATATAAAATTTAAGGTCATGTGGCATGAATATTGTTGTGATTATTTACGTTTTTCATTTTTTTGGTGATTTTCAGTCATTTAAATGATTATTCTGGAAAGAAATAGATAAGAGGAGGATTGAAATTGTGTAAAAGGGTTATTGGGTTTTTAGACCTTTATAAAAGGTACTATTTTTTTCAAAAAAAATTTTTCTAGACCGTTATGTCAAAACCTAAAGTTGAGCCCCTTTAAAATTTTTTTAAAACCCGTTTGGGAAAACAAAAGCTTACATTTTAAATTTTCATACCCAAAAAATCATTTTTTTTATTTTAGGGACTATATGTTACAAAGGGTATAGAAAAGCCTTTTCCTGTGTTCAGTCCATCAGACTGGAATTGAATCCACATCTTTTTAGATCTTGCCGTAAAAGCAATAGGTCTGTTTTCCTGTTCGCACGTTTCATATGTAACAGTAGAAAATTCATTTTCTGCAAAACAAAATGATGAAAATTAACATGCCATTGTATCCATACAGTTTACACATTTGGTTAGCTAAAGAGACTGAATTAAGCGAACAGGTTTTATAGTACTGCTAGACTTGACCTCAAGGTTATAAAATAGAGAAAATAAAGCTCCCTTAAGAAAGTCCAAAACGGCAAAATTAAAAATGTTGCAGGCTCGGTTTTATTGAGCCTGTTCATGGATGGTACTGTCAAGTGCAAACTACCGTCCATACCACACCCCCCCCCCCCCCCCCCGCCCCACCTACTGCACCGGCTTAAGCAGAATTCAACATTTAAACATTAAATGGTAAAGTTTTGAATTTAGAAACATCCACAGCAGAGGTATGATAAAAAAGATGTTTATAAAACTTATTTGAGTTCTGTCTCAAATCTCAGGATTTTCATTGGTCCCTGAACATTCTGTGGCAGTTTCTTACCAAACAAATACCTGAGGTCTGTGTTTGAGCTTGGAGAAAGTTTTTTATAACCTCAAACCAAGGTTGTTCGCACAACGTCGAAATAAAAGCGACATTTAAAAGTTATAGAAGCCAGAACTATCATTTGGTCCGTTATCGGGTGGTTAGAGTCGCTGACATTGAGGCACCTACCCCTTAGCTAAATCCAAATCCCGTCTGAAACTTTTAAATACTTCATGTGGGGAAACTATCTAGCTATTTTTAGAAAAAAGGTCGGTCGGTTCTATATAGATTCTCGCTCGTAACTAAACTAGCACAGAGAAGAACATGAGTTCTCTTTCTCAACCTTAAGCTTAAAATCGACGACATATGCTTAAGAGCGTCTGTGTACTTTGAAACCTTACCGGCCACAACTAAATTACATATTTTCATATTTTCGGAGGTATTTCCCTCAATAACATTTTTTTTTAAAAATCAACATTTTTTCTAACAATTTACATATCTAATGGCAATATATTTGTTGTTAAATTGCGAGGCAAAAAACAACACCAAAGTAACGATCACTTCGCAACTAAAAAGAGACACCATTTCATGGTCAAACAATCTAATAAAACCATAATATCATACATCGGTGATATATGAATGGCCAATAACTATGCTTTCCTTGACGCCATATATCGAAATAACCTTGCTTAATTTGGTGCCATGGGGCGCACACAGTTTTGATATTAAAATTTCCTCTCGTTATTAGGTTATAACAAACGAAATGATTATTATTGTTAATATTTGTTGTTTATTATGTACCTTTTATTATATACTGTTTGTCATGTACTTTTGTTATAATTACAATCAGTAACAAGTGCTGTTTTTTGTTTTTGTTTTTTTTTTTCAACAAAAATATCAAAACCGTTTTTATTCTTCTTCATTACTATCCTGGTTACTTCGTATTGGTCCTTACCGTCTAATATTGGCCTTGTGTTAAAATATTATAGTTTCAAAGCTGTTTAACATGCAAAGAAAGAAGATACTTAATATTATAGTATTAACTATTTCATAGTTAATTACATATTATCATATTGATATTTACTTGATTTGCGCATCACAAGCTTATCTCCACATTTGTCCGATTTCTGTAAATTGACTTCCGGTATGATAACGAGAATACGGCGTCCATTTGCTGGTCGTATCTTCCATACACACGTGACATTGACAGGATAATCCCCCGGGTAGTTGGGGGATTGAATTATCCCCTTTACGGCCTTTTTACTAAATTTTTCACCACAAACATGGCCTGAAATATGAATTATCATAGATAAAATACGAACATATTTCGGTCTTAATTCTTTATATTATTAATTGTAATTAATTATTTAATTCTTTACAATTATTCTTTGCATTATATGTTTAACTTACTCGGTCTCAAAAGATTTTCATGAAAGCTTATCATCACAATTTAATGATCAAACTATATACACTAAACAGTTTATAACCCTTTTGGGAGATTTTATTGTTTTTAAAAAAGCTAAACCCCTTCAAAAAAATTATTTTTTGACATTTGGGAATTTAAATTTTGTTTTTATACATTTTACGATTTTTTTATAAAAAAGTGACCCTTTTAGGTCCAAGGGGGCCCCGGGGGGGATTTTTTTTGTTCTTTTTAAATTGTTTTTATTTGTTTTTGTTTTTTGTTAAATTTTTATACAAAATGCAAGTCACTATAATATTTTTTTTACTTCTTCTTCTTTACATTCATCAATACATTTCGTATACCTTACATTATAAATTATTCATAATCAAGTTCGATAGATCTTCAATGCCAAGGACTCGAAGCCTCGGCTCCATGGTCCGCAAACCTATCGCTTTACTGACTTAATCTATAATCAAACTCATTGGGCGAGCGTAATAAGAATACTGCAGTACTTGTATTTTACAGAACTTGTTCTGCAGATTCTATATATAGAAACTTTTTTACTAATTTGAAAACTGCACAATTTGCTGATATTGCTTAACAAGTTTGTCCACTTTCATTTAAATCAACTTATACAATTTTTATTATATCATGATGGAAATTTGGATGATGGTTAGCCAACAGCGTAGATTTTGATCAGACTACACTGGCAAGCAGCCAAACATGGCAATATACTGATGGCAAAGGCCTTACAGTTGCACTTTCAATTATTATTCTACATAGCATCTGTTTTAATTAGCCTGTACACTGTTTTTTACTTAAAAACATGTAAAAATGTAGAAAATAAGGAATACTTTTGCACATAGAAAGATCCGTAGATGCCACAGTATCCGTTGTTGTATCTTTTGGACATTTAAGGCAGAAATCTTGTCCCGATTTGGCTTGGTAGAATCCTCTTGCGCATGCTTCACATTTAGATTTAGTGACGTCATAAAAGTAACCAGCGTCACATGTTTCTGTTGAAAAGGTCAAAAGGTCAAAGTTACTGATTACACATAATTATGTTCGCATGTTTATAAAATATAATGCATACAGATAGTCTAAGGGAGATCACTATGTACTGATGTAAAAAAATGGACACACAAACAAAACTAAACAAAAAAAAAATTAAAATAGCGTTGAATGTCAACAAAAACTTATTTTTTACATATTATTTTTCAAAGTCTTAAATTAAAAAAATATATATTATTTATCTTTAATATCATATAAATTATTAATGAAGTAGCAATTAATGAAAATTCAACTGTAAAAAAATTACGGAATTTTGACTATTAATGACTATTTCTTCATAATAAGTAACACATCTGTAAAAAAAAAGAGAATTTATATTAAATACATTATAACAGAATACTTTAAGAAAGACGATAGGATAACTCAGGATGTTTGTACCTCTTGCTTCGCACTGCTTAAAACTTGTGGAGGCGGTTGATTTAGTATCCAAACCTCCGGCGCATTTTTGGCAAGACAGGCGTCCGTACTCGGGTTGATACGAACCTTTAGGGCACGGCTTACAGGGCTTCAAACCATTTTGTGAATAATAACCAGGGTCGCAAAGTACTGTAAAACAAAAATAAGTATCTCAGGGAACAATTGGTGGTGTTTTCTTTTTGTTGTCTGAATTCAATTCCATACGTATATGCGCTGTTTTATTATGCTAAAAACTTTAATAAATTTATAACCATGTGACAATACTGTGTTACATTAAGATTGTTTTCCTACAAGGAAGCATTTTGTGAGAGTGTATAAATGTAATTAGGGGGAGGGGGGTCTTGTTGGCGTGTGTCTGCTAGTGTTTGTTTAAATTGCGTGTGTTCTGTTGTTGTTGTTTTTGTGTTTGACGTTGTTTTTAGTGGTGGTGCCGTTGCTGTTGTTGTTTTCTTTGCTAATATTTTACATGTTGCTGGTAGTGGTGGTATTACTGGTGCTGTTGTTGCCATTGTTGTTTTTTGTTGTTGTTTTATTGGTTGTTTATTGTTGTTGCTTTTGTTGTTGTTTTCATGTACCATATTTATTCCTAATATTTTACATGTTGATGCTGCCGCTGTTGCTTATCAGACCTATAACTTTTGAATTCTTTAATGTTTAAGACAAAGAAATGACAAAAACAATCTGATGTAGAACAGCATACACATTCAGCATAACAGAATGATTTAACATTATCTAAACAAAACATAAAAACATTCAGTACTTTGTACGTAAGCAAATGATTTACCCATGCAGTCAGCTTCACTAATCGCCCCGTGTATACCGACATCTGGAGGGTTCTTCGGGCATTTTTTGCACGTGTTTTGTGCCTCTTCATCTTGATAGTAGCCTGGCAGACATAAACTGCATACTTTCGCTTTCTTGTCATAATACGTGCCTTTGGAACAACCGACTGTTAAAAAAGGAAATAAATTATTTACATCATGCAATGTGTGATTTTTATATATCAGGAAATAAGTTTGTTTATATTGGATATGTAATTTTATTAATACACATGTACATGTATCTCAATGCAGTATTGTATTATTTAACAATATTTGTTTATAATTGCGTACATTTGCTCGGTAGGTATTTCCCTTTTACTCTTGGCTAAAATGAAATAGATTATATATTCTTATTGCCATTTTAGCATACATGAAAATTCGTATTGACATGTTATCATAAACGAAAATTCATATTGATTTTTAGCGTTAAACGAAAATGGTTTTTGACATTTTAGCATAAACGAAAATTCGTATTGACATTTTAGCATAAATGAAAATTCTAATTGACATTTTAGAGTGAAATGGAAATAATATACTAACTACGACGGACAAAACGTCACCGAAACATTACACACACCATGTCGGTCGAAAGAAGTGGGTTGATTTTAAAAAGAATATTTATTTACACATATAAATACAGTCAAACCTTTATTTAAAGATCAACTACATACCACATGTATCTTTCAGTAGCATCCAGTTTTTATTACATGATTTATCGTAGCCTCTCGGAGACTTGAATTTTGTCTTGTCAGCCCTGCACGTGCGTTCAGCATAGCTAAAACATAGACATAAAAATTGTGAGAAAAAAAAAACAAATGCCTGAAACAAAACTTGAAAGAAATAAATAAACGACAACATTTTCAGAATTTGTGATAATATAAAACGAAAAGTTGGAGTTTCCAGACTAATCCTTTTCGTATTGATTGTCAATGTAATGTATGTATAAAAATGTTCTCATGTGACGAAACAAAATATGTTTAAACCAAAATGCGAATAAAATTGTTTCATCTAATTTCTTTGAAATAATGTATCTTTTGAATTAAGTAAACACAAAACTTACCCGAACACAAAATCGTTTTTCTTAATCGTCTTGCCAAGCTTCTTCACTATTTTCTTCAGTCTTTTCTCTATTTTACTCATTTCACAACGCACGTCGCATTTTCTGTTTTTTATAAAAGAAAATGTTTTATTTAAAAGAAATGAAATATATACCCCAACTTTATTGGACCAAAAGGTTAACAAACAACGCAAAATATTTAAAACCGGGAAAGAATTTTTCATATAACTTTAAAAAAAAAGGCATATTTCCCGCAGGGAAAGGTTTTCTTTAAAAAAAAACCAGTCCCCAAAAAAAAGCAAGGAAAGGGTCCTGATAGCCCCAGAAACCCCTCACCCAAAAAAGAAATAAAGAAAAGATCACCAGGTTTTTCTGGGGAAAAAGCTACAAACCCCAAAAAATCTAAAGCTATTGATTGTATACATGTGGAGTCCTAAAAAGGAATTTCCCTATATAACTTTCGATAAACTTAGTGACACACAAATGTGATATTTTTAACATCATTTGTATGATTTAATATATAACCTTGATTTATATAACCCTGATTTATATTACCTTGATTTATGTCACCTTGATTTATGTAACCTTGATTTTTGTAACCTTGATTTATGTAACCTTGATTTATAAAGTCTTGAACAATTTCTGCTCAGGTGAGCTCAGTGGTGAGTAAGAAAGAATGGTTTAACATAAAAAAAGAACGGTTTCTGGTAAAAAGTGCCAATAAAAACAAAAAGGAAGGATTATTTGCATGTACATGTATATAAATATAAAATGAAATTCTCATAAATTAAAAAATAATGGTTACATATTAAAAGAGAATTTTCATATACATACATTTTTTGTATTAACAGCATAACAAATGATATTCATTGTGATAAACATTATTTGGAAAAGTTTCTTATTTCTCGTATTTATAAGATATTAATTTTTTATACTATAAAAGAGTCCCTTATTCATTAAAGGCACATTATGAACCAGAAAGGAATAAAAAATTTACTTCCTTAGAAAAAGGCAACTTGATACATTAGTTGTATAACATTTAAATAATAATATAAGAGCATGTTACATGCTTGTGACCTAAAAAGTAGCACTAAATGTGAAATAATTTGTCACAAAAGTAGCACAATGTATACAAAGTAGTATTTTGACTTCCATACAAAACACTTAATCACTATTTTTGTACTAATTGCCCAAATAAAATGCAACAGAAGAAAAAGATGGTTCGCGTAATTGGTCAATGGGTATCTTTTTGAAAATTATAAAAGTACTCTGAAAATAAAAAGCCGTTTAGAAATATAAAATAAAAGCATTCCTTGGGCATATCGGGCCTTTAACAAGAGCTTATATAATTAATAGGTGGACTTTTGTTCACATATTACAGGAATGAAGGAAATTTGATAATTACATGAAGGACTTTCTTTCGGAATTATTTTATGGCCCTAAAAAGTTTAAGGTTTCACTGAATCTATTGTACTTACTCCTAAGCTGGTCCTTCGCTTTGTAGGTAAGCTCAAAATCTACAGTAATTATGAAGCTTATAAGTGGCATCCGACCACGCCGGGTTCGAAGCCTTTTACAGTCGAGTGTCAGGTCGTCCACCACACAGTTATCTTGACATTTGAACCTCTTTTGACCTGTAATTTAAATAATTGTTTAAAATACCATAACACCGTCTTCCTCACTACTGCAATTTAGACAGCAATCAGAATTGATTGGGGGAAAAAAACAGAAAAAAATGGGAAATTTAAAAACAATATGCGTATAGGAGAACAGAAGAAACGACTACTGTCTATAAAACAGCGTCTTCGACTATTCTAAACGCTTGATGTTATAACAAGGCCTAGATGATGTAGACTTTTGTTAAGTTATAAAGTGCCACAACTCTGTCAAAATCCAAGTTAGAGTTATGAAACTTAGATGGTGGCCACCTATTATGCTTTCTAATAAGGGTGTGAAGTTTCAATCCATTCCCTTTCGTATTTTCGAAAATACCAACTTGCACGCAAAATCTTAACCATCCTCGGTGCCTAAGTGAGTACAATTTCCCCACCTATGCTTTGAATATTCAAGCTAAAAATGGCAGTGGCTTGTTGACTTTTTGTAGAGCTAAGATCATCATCAGACACATTAAAACTTAAGACATCTTTTAAGCCTCTGTTCCAAACAAAATTCTGGACAGCCCAATAAATTCTACTTTAGTTACAACTTTTATGTTGTTTTCATCATATTTACTACGTATATTTTCTTTTAAGATGTTTATGATGCACCCTGAATTAAACTTCTTTCAAAAAATATGTTCTGTTAGGAAAATATTGGATATATTTACTATATCTGTATAAATTCTACTATTACCGAGGGTGTGGGGGTACAAACCTCAAGTACAATGTATAAGTATGCAAAAGAGAACTTACCATTTAATATTCCGGTTATATTCTGTGCCATCTGTGTACGTATGGATTTCTTTTTCTTGCAAATTTTCTCAGAAAAGCTAAATTTCACTTTTTTAGACAAGTTAGGAGCTGCTATGTGTGCTGCAAAGAAACAAGTTTTATAGTTCAAAATATAAAGTTGCATGCCTCCATATCAGCCAAAAATATTTCAAGACAATCAATCCTGAGAAAACTGTCAACAATTCAAGAAAAAAAAAATACATGTTAAATGTAATGAATGATGGATTTTGCAGTATTTATATCACCATATTTGTACTGCATGACTAACGCAGTAAAGGCTATATTTTTTATTATTACAAAATTAATGTATTATTTTTTGCAAATTTCCGTTGATTTTAAGTGCCGTTTGCGTTGTGTAAATTACTTTCTTTGTTCTTTTTATAACATATCTATATCTTTATTGTTTTACTTTTTAATACATTTTAAGAATTTTCATGAAAATTAGAATGAATATGGAGGCATGCTGCTTTAAAACAAAATGACAGAGAAAGTTTTGATAAGTCGTTGGTGGCTAAATATCAAGGCTGTGAACAAAAGGAATGTCGAAAATAAGATATAAGAAGACCATTTGAAAATTTTTTATATAGATAAAGAAACACGTACAGGAACAAGATGGCAGCTCAACTTTCTTAATATCGTGATCCCATCTGTACTGCGTGCCCGGTCCACAATGTGTTCTCATTTCGGATAGATCAGATTCGGATAAAAATCGTTCGCCTTCGCTGCACTTGTGTATACAAAGAGTATCTTCCCTTTGTACTTTACATGAGAAGTTGCTAGCAGGAGGAGCACTCAATTCATTGCAGGTCTTTTCCGCTAGATGAAAAGAAATTGCATATGTCAATATATCAAAATTGAATAATTCTACAGTTGTTGACTTTTGTTTTGTTTGTGTTTGGTTTCTTTCTCACCAAAAGTTTAAAAAAGCTCAAGTTTTCGGTTTTTATTGGACATTAATAGCAAATCAGTCCGTATTTTATTAAGGACCGACAATTAGGCATTAAAACTTTTATTACATGTTACAGACAGCACATTTAAACATACAGGTTTTAACTCATTTTGTGTCGCCATTTTGTTTTCTTCTGTGAATGTGTGCCCCTGAGTATTAACTCGTTCTTCATCAGTAAATAACTGGTGCTAAAAAAGTCTGACATTCGACGTGATTAGTCTTTCAGCAGACAATTATGCAAAAATATAAGTCCGCCATTCGACGTCATTCGTTCTTTTCATTGCGATTCAGTAACTCACGGGAGTTAACTACTCAATTAAAATTACAACAACAATTGTTCAAGATTTTAATATTGCAACAAGTACTTACCTATGCAATCTTTTCCATTTTTATGTAATTTGAAGCCAGAGTTACATAAACATTGGAATCCACCAACAGTATTACTACAGTCTTGCTGGCAACCTCCGTTATTGTCAGAACATTCGTCCCTATCTGCAAGGTTAACAAAAATATGGAAGACTATTTACGTAAAAGTTACACTATGCTTTCGTGTATAATAATTGTGCTTGTGGTTAGCGCAAACGCGTTCTTGTGTGATGACGTCTCCTAGGCCATCTTGATAATGTAAGGTAAGTAAGTTTTTTGTGCAGTGTAATCAGTACTAAAGAGTAATCTCCCTTTTTGATCATGATTTCCACGTTAAGTTTCGTCATATTTTAGGAAAAATATTTATTTTTTCCCAATTATTTAGAAAAACTATCTATAATTTGCTCAATTATTTAGTAATAATAAAAATTATTTAAGAAAATTATCTATTTTGCCCAATTACTTTGTGAAATAGTTATTTTTCATTTAATTATTTCATAACTGCAGTTATGAAATGTAAAAAACATACTGATACAATAGGTACAGTTACCGCAGATAAAAAGATGATAAGGTATACTAAATTACTACGAATAGATTATAACCGTAAAAATACTTAAGAGATGAAAAAGAAACACAGTTTGTAGCAGCGTTTCTTCTTTGCAATAAACTATCTCAAGTCACGTGCTTCAGGTCACGTGCGACACTAAGAAAGCCTATAAAGCCGCGTTATTATTTACAAAAGATGTCTTCCCAGCAGGAGTGATAACGAAGTGTATAAAATTATAAATAGATATATACCAGCACAATGAGATATCCCGTATCTGTCATATCCTGGCATGCACGTGCAGAGGTAACTTCCGGGAGTATTTATACAGATGTGATCACATGTTGTCTTCACGTCACATTCGTCAACATCTATAGAATATATATAAATAATACTTGTTTAAGTAAGTTTGTTTGTTTGTTTCTATAGTTGTTGTTGTTGTTGTTGCTTAACATGCATACTTCTGCACGGAATAACAGAGTTATAAATATTTATAGCTTCCGATCAAAGGGACACAAACAACAAAAGAAGAAACGGTAACAAAATTAATGTATCAAACTTTAAAGTGAGACAACCATCAACGTATCCTGGTATGTTACCTCGGACACAATTTTGAAATATTCAAGTTATTTAGAGTAACCACAAAAATCCATACAGACGTCTTGAAGACATTTAGTTACTTTATGTTTTAGAGAATACTGCAACGTATACATGAGTTTTATTAAATTGTCTCTCAATTGTCTTTAGCTGTTTGCTAAAATGTATTTTTACTGCTCCAGAACGATATATCTCGTTGTGAAACCCCCATTTTTAAAGAGCTTTGTTTAAAAACGCCATTAGATCAACTACAAGGGACTTTGTTGCTTTGTAAATTGTCATTTAAGTTGGGAAAAGCCCTGTCAAAAGAAAACGATTCTGCCGCACTTGGTGAACGTTGAGAAGCTGTAAATCGAACACGGCAGTGTTACAGACGGACGTTACAGAGTAAAAATCAAAGCACTGAATGTACTGATGGGGAGGCTATGAGAGAATGTTTCAGACTTATAGTTTCTTTTCTTTTTGCTTAAAATATGCTACCAAAATAAAAAGATATGCACATTGCGCTATTTATCCTTACTGTTGTGTTCAACCATTCATATATATGGTTAATGAGGTTGACTATTCATTTTGTTAATATTCCAGAACATTTAATTAAGGTCTACATTCGGACTGTTAATCATGCAAATTTTGAAAAACCTAAACTGTCAATAATAAATGACATACCAGCAAGTATGACGACTGTTCATTATCAGATAACAATAACATTTTACAACTGACGGTTCCTTATCAAAATATTCTAGGACTGTTCATCATAAATATTTTATGTCATTTTAATATTATTGAATGATAATAACAACTGCAGTGATGCAACATTTTTATTGAACATAAAAATTATACACGTTTAGATGTACCATAATTGAGATCAATAAGATACTGTCTTGTGATGAGTATTAACATTCATGCTCTACGGACAGAAGGTTGTCTTCTTCAGAAGCAAATCTCGAATAAAATCACGTTTCAGAAAATTAATCCCATTTCATTACTGACGGCGTCGGATAATATTAAAGCTAAATATTTCTTGAAAAAATACATCTCTGCAAAGCTTATTCAAAACTGAATCAACCTAAGTGAAAATTGATCAGGAAGTTATATCTTCTTTTTTTTACCGCCAACACTCAACACTCAACCAACTTATGGTAGTTAATCGATAGATTCTACGTGTATTTTTAAACCTCACTAGCTTGAAATATATACTGCGGAAAATCTGTTGTTAACAGGGTGTGCGGTTATTACGTAGGGTTTTCCCTGTCGACCATTTCCCGCAAATAGATGAGAACATCGAAGCCGTCAGTGCTATGAATGGTGTTATAAATGGCGTGTTTTGGAAGTTTTTGTTGAAACTTCTCCAAATACCTCCAGAAGCGTGCACGTCGCGGAGAAGGCACACGGAAGGTCATAGTCAAGTCATCATAAGTACCAGAGGTGATTGGTTGACCTGTCGTGACTTACTCTGGAGGTTTGGCGCTAATAGATGCCGTTTTTGTTGTCGTCAGTCAGAAAGTTGATGCCTTGACGGTATTGTCGTCTCCTTTACCACCAAAGAACGAAGAATGGGCTTCCAGGAAGAATCTGCTTGAAAAAGACGTCCCAGATGCTATAATCTCGGACATATGGTTATTCCGGCGCCGAGTATAAATAAACTTAAAACACACACACTTTTGTTGAAAACAAAACATTCTAACACGACCCGCATTTTTCCCTATTGAACATAGAAGAGCCGAAAGTGTGTGTTATTATGCTATAAAATCACTGTTTGACGTTCTATATTTAGATATGTGACGTAATCATTATACACGTTACGTAACAACTAAAATGTGACGCGCTGACAATAAGTACGGAAACAAATCAGCCGCAATTAAGCTTATTATAATGCACGGCAGCATTTATTTGTTGATGTCGTGTTAGTCTGTTAGAATCGAAATAATATATCCAAATCGGTGATTTTCTTACTTGATAACATCACTGTTTGTCGTTCGGGTGCGCATCATTATATCACTCGGGCTACGCCCTCGTGATATAATTCCCCGCATCCGAACTCCAAACAGTGATGTTATTGAGCAATAAAATCACAGTTTGGGATATATTATTTCTTAAACATCACATTTTCTGTAGTAATTTTTAGCTCACCTGTCACAAAGTGACAGGGTGAGCTTTTGTGATCGCTTTTCGTCCGGCATCCGTAAACTTTTACTTTAAATGACATCTCCTCATAAACCACTAAGCCAATTTCATCCAAACTTCACAGGAATGTTCCTTTGGTGGTCACCTTTGAAAATTGTTCAAAAATTTAATTCCATCCAGAACTCTGGTTGCCATGGCAACCAAAAGAAAAAACTTTAAATATCTTCTTCTAAAAAACCCAAAGAGCTAAGGCTAAGATATTTGGCATGAAACATCTTCTAGTGAGTGTCTACTAATTTTTTTCAAATAAAAGCCTTGGGGTCAAAATTGGCCCGCCCCAGGGGGTCATTGATTTTCACTATATGCATATAGTAAAAACTTAAAAAAATCTTCTTTTAAAGAACCCAAAGAGCTAGAGCTAAGATATTTAGCATGAAACATGTTCTAAAGGATGTCTACCAAGTTTGTTCAAATAAGAGTCCTGGGGTCAAAATTGGCCCCGCCCGGGGGGTCATTGATTTTCCTTATATGTGTATAATAGCAAAAACTTAAAAAATCTTTTTTGAAAAAAAAAAACCAAATAGCTAGAGTTTAGATACTAAGCATGAAACATCTTCTAGTGAGTGTCTACCAAATTTGTTAAAATAAAAGCCCTGGGGTTTAATTTGGTCCCGCTCCTGGGGCCTATATACAGGTGAGCGACTTCAGGGCCATCTTGGCCCTCTTGTTCAAGTGTTGTAAAATGAATAAGAAATTCCTCTTATGCCGCCCATTATTTTTAGAACACAACCATAAAAGTTCTTTTTTTTTATTTTTCAAATAAACATTTATCACTTCAGCGCGAGCAAATATCGGTTTCAAATTAAAGTTTCGTAAGATATGTTAATGACTTCCCGATGCTCGACTGTAAGTAATTTGTATATGTATGCGGTTTTTTTTGTTTTTGTTTTTTTTGTTTTTGTTTTTTAATTAAAGCTTCTTATTCTTTAATATTTTTTATGTATCTCATAATCTGTATTGAAAATTTGAATTTTATTACAAATGGACTATCAAATTATGATGTATGCCCTAGAATTGAATAAACTTTCTAATTACACAATACGGGGTCATACTGATCTTTGCGTCTTTCTCTGAAATACTTATTTCCTTGTTAAAACATATTTGACCACATATTTCTGTCAATTAACTGTTCACTTTACTTCCGATTTTGTTGTACGGAAACACATGTTTCTATTTGTGTTTTCTAATCAATTCGAATCTATAATCAGTTTAATGGGATCACCACCGGGTAAACGACTACTAGGTACTTTGGTCATGTTTTTTACCACAAATATTTGAATGTTTCTATTGGGATTAAAATGAGCATATTTAACTAAACAACTGTTTGTATAAATTCCTGACCTGTCTAATTCTAATTATGAGATTAGTGAATATATAAGACTTTCACTACAAAATATTCCTAAACAAAAGAGCACATGTTTAAATTTATTCCTATACAAATAAAAGATCAGAGTAGGGATCTGTCAATTACCAAAGATACTTTTATGTTAAAAGTTTGATTAATGAATTATGTAAGATGAAAATATAAGTATTGCTTTTTTTATTTTGCTAATGTAAAATGTAATATTGTGCTGGGATTTTGTCGGAGGTCCTTAGGGGTTTTGTAGTTAAATAGTTTTTTTTCGGCGATAATGGTTAAAGAATAAAATGTTTTTAAACTATATGTTCATCACCATCAGTGAATTTTTAGTTAAATGTATGCAAAATATTTACTAAACAGCTATATGATTTAGCGGTTTATGAGCGTTTTCCGCGTACAGCCTCCTGGGGTGTACAAATAAGTTAGTTTTCCTTAGTTATCACGCAAGCATGATCCATGTCTCTGATGTAAGCGACAGTTAACAATTATTTGTCTTTAAAAAATATTAAGGACTATTAATAGTTTATAACAACAAAAGCACATGCATGATATTGAGAATACGTAGTTGCAACGTTCTAGTTAATGACCCGTCATAAACAGTTGGTCGCTGCGTAGTAATTGGAAAGTTGTTATCAAAAATAATAAAGAATATTTGCCACTGAATTAAAGCATTTACTTATAAATTTTCATTTATGCTTTTTGTTAAAAAAATATGGATACAGTTATTATTTTGAAGGGTTTTCATACCAGAACTATTTAATACAGACGTACGTAATATGCCTAAACCTGATTACCGCGGCAGTATGACGTCACGGAGTAGTGATTTAAACAAAAATCAAGAATTTTTCAGAGAATTATTATCTTTACAAATTGCAGATATGAAATTAAAGAATGAAAATATTTTCATATTGTAAATGTCTGTGATGAGTGATGAGTCAGCTTAGAAAAAATCAAAGTACTATTTTTTGACCTGATTACCGTGGCAGTATGACGTCACGGAGTAGTGATTTAAACAAAAATCAAGAATTTTTCAGAGAATTATTATCTTTACAAATTGCAGATATGAAATTAAAGAATGAAAATATTTTCATATTGTAAATGTCTGTGATGAGTGATGAGTCAGCTTAGAAAAAATCAAGGTACTATTTTTTGACCTGATTACCGCGGCAGTAAGATTTGACAGACAGTTATTAACATTGGGTCGGCATAGCCTCCCCAAAAATGAATATACAAACTATAAGGGAAGGCAATCCCCTAAGGCATATTGGCTTAAACACCTTGTCGAAAAAAATGCAAAAAAAGCAAACTATAATATAAAGGGAAACAACCTACCTTGGCATGTTTTCTGATCTTTCTGTACTTTGTAACCAAGTGGGCAAAGACATTCATAGCCGCCGTCAAAGTTAACACATTCATTACTACATCCACCATTATTTACTGCACACTCATCTATATCTAGTAGGAAAAATAGACATATATATATAGAGTAAAATGCAATAATAATATTAAATAAATAACAAACTCTATATTATCAATATAGCGCTTTTAATGTTTTCTTATCATATCTTTAGCCGATTTTTTAATAAACAATAATCAACTAATTGCGTTTTGTCGCGGAGAACGTTACCGTTTAGCGTTCCCGCATTTTTTTTTCATGACGTTGCGTCATTTGTTTATCATAGTCTGTCCCATTAAAAGATTGAAATGAACTTTTACCTGGTACGAATTAACAAAACCAGGTTAAATAAAAAACAAACTTTTTTGTAAACTAAAAAAAGTCACTCTCGAGATTTTTCGGGATTTTTCTCTTAAATATCTACTTTTCTTATAAAAGCAAAGTTTCATTTCTCTATGGCAAATCTCTGTTGTTTATTTTCCGCAATCTGTTTCGCTGTCTACGTTTACTACAAAAAGTAGCTATAACGTAGTATAAGTGGAAGGAACTCAAGACCATATTTTCCTTAGCCATTGCCGAAGTTCTCATTTACTATTTATTTGAAGATGAACGGGAGAAAGCACGTGTCATGTTTCTAAAATGTACATGAATGATGAAGTTCTCGGGGTCGTTTCATGATTCAATATATGAGCCGCGTCACGACAAAACCAACATAATGGGTTTGCGACCAGCATGGATTCAGACCAGCCTGGATCCATGCTGGTTGCAAACGCATTATTTTGGTTTTGTCGTGACGCGGCTTATATAAAGCAGGACAATATAAGACTGTCAGGGGAGATAAACACAGTCACATTTTGAAATTATATGAAGGACATAAAGACTACCTAAGCAACTTTTCTGATCTTGATGTAATTCAAATCCTTCTGGACAGGAACATACGGGACCGCTACTCTCGTCTTTGCACTTTTTTGCACATCCACCATTATTTACCATACACGTTGCTGCAATTAGAAATGTGCATATTTCATGATGTATTAATTAGCTTCTGCATATTTCGTGAGTGTGTATGAGTAGTGTCATGTGTCAGTAGTGTTCTGTATGTCAGGTTTGTGTTTAATTAGTTCCCTGTGCTTCGAGTGTATGTAGTGTCCTGTATGTCAGGGGAGTGTTTGAGAAGTATCCTGTGTTTCAGTAGTTTCCTGTATGTTAGCCCAGTGATTGAGAAGTACCATGTGCGACCGTAGTGTACTGTGCGTGAATATGAGTAGTGTCAATGTGCCAGTAATGTTCTGTATATCAGTTTGTCATGTGTGTCAGTAAGGGTCTGTGTGTCAGTGTGCCCTGTGTGTCAGTGTGCCAGTAATGTCCTGTATGTCAGTGTGTCAGTAGTGGTCTGTGTGTCAGTAGTGTACTGTATGTCAGTGTGTCAGTAGTATCCTGTATGTCAGTGGTGTACGGTGTGTCAGTAATGGCCTGTGTGTCAGTGTTATGTCTTGTATGTCAGTGTGTGAGTAATGTCCTGTGTGTCAGTGTTAGTGTAGTGTCCTGTGTGTCAGTGTGATAGTAGTGTTAGTGTAGTGTCCTGTGCTGTTTGTCAATGTCAGTTTAGTGTCCTGTATGTTAGTGTGATAGTAGTGTCCTGTATGTCAGTGTGTAAGTAGTGTCCTGTGTACCATTGTATTAGTAGTGTCCTGTGTGTCAGTAGTGCCCTGTATGTCATGTGTGTCAGTAGTGTCCTTTATGTCAGAAGTGCCTGTATGTCAGTAGTGTCCTGTGTGTCAGTAGTGTCCTGTGTGTCAGTGTTAGTGTAGTGTCCTGTATGTCAGTGTTAGTGTAGTGTCCTGTGTGAGTAGTTTTTATTAATTTTTCATTGTTAGTATTTTTATAGGAGTAGCGGGGGATCGAACTCGCGACCCCTAGATTTGTAGTCAGACAGTGTTACCACTGCACCACAGCGCCCGCTCTGATTTATAACTATTTTAAAAGTCCCTATATACATTATCACATTACTATACATGAGATTAGTTATGCAATTGAACTTTCACACCTAGAAAGTAAATAAAGCTGTTAGGTCTTAAGTGTTTTACAATGGCTGACATTCCTGTCCTTGCTCGAGGGGTTACGATAAAATGCTTTTATTTGTTTTCTACGAATATATATCTTCATGTCTTACCTTCTTTAAATAAAGATAGTATTAAGTAAGTAAGCTGAAACCAATAATTATTGTTAAAAAATGGTAAATTTAGACTTGAGGCAAGTCTGTTTAATCTAGTTTCCTTAGTTAAAAATATTTCTGTTGGCGGAAATTAATCATTAATCATGAGCTATGAAAAAAAAGAATGTTAAAGCTGCAAACTTCCAGACTCATAAAATTTTGAAAATGTAATGTAAATTAGAGGTAAAATATCTTCAAGTGAACAAAGAAAGTAATTTACATATTGCAAACAAGACTTTCAATTAATGTAAATCACCAAATAGATGTCAAAACATGCAACAAAAAAAGCCCTGTATTAGTCACGCAAAATACATTTATTTTTATTAAAATCTTAGTAAATTTAATCTTAAGTTTTGTTTTGTTTTGTTTTTTCAGAATAACAGTAACAGATATATGACAAGATAGATGATTTCTACCAAATGGTATCAACCCGCACTCTACGTCCACCAGGGGACTCGGTTGGTTATTCGCGTGAATCCCCAAGTACCAATCAGAAGGAAGTTGGTAATTCGAACTGTGCATTTTTACCCACTAAAAAGTACTTTTCCGGAAATAAATAAAAATAATGAAAAAATAATAAAAATGAATGTCACGGAAATATGAAAAGAAAGATGTGTTCTCCAACATAAAAACACACTGTCTTCTTATATCCACCGGAAGACTGAGTTAGTTATTCGCGCGAATCCCAAACTACCAACCAGAAGGTAGCTGGTAATTCGAACATTGCATGATTTCCACTTGAAACAGAAAGAACTTTTTCGGAATTATGGATAAAGCGGATATAATAATTATAACGAGAAAGATGTGTTTTTTTTTCAACATTGAAACGCCCTGTCTTCTTATGTCCTCCAGGGGACTAAGTTGTTGTGTTGTTGTTTTCTCGCCTATAAATCAAATAATGTTCTGAATTCAGAAATACTTTAGAGAAATACTACATCTCTTAACTGCTGTTTTTATTGTTTTTTTCTTATTTGTTTTTTTTTTTCATTTGTTTGTATATGTTTTGGAGGTGTTGTTGTTGTTGTTTTTTCGGGGTTGGGGGGTGTATAATTTTATAAAAAAAGATAATATGCACTATGATTGGTCAGATATTGTTTGAAAAAGGTAGAAGTATAATGATATGGTTTTATGAGATAAATTGCAAAACATGGCTAAGGGGAAACAACTCCAGACAAACGGGAAAAAAACGGAGGCCCAGGAGTTACTACGATTTTACAAATTTTACAGGTTATTTTTAGCATTTAACATGCTAAATTAATTTCTCAAGGTTTGAATTTGAAACAAGCCATTCGAAATTAGAGGAATTTTATATCGGATAGGGCAAATAGATCAAAATGAACACAATTTTAAATATCAATACATATTTCGCTTTATTAGCTTCATAAAGGAAATGACGTAAACGTATAAAACAGACGTCTACTTTAATAGACGCCACATTTATATCAAAATACTTAATCAGACTACAAGGATGGTTGAAAGAGCTGCTCACTTTCGGACCCCGCAGGTCAATGGTTAAATCAATTGCATTATAAGTTCAATTTACAAAGCTTTTTAAGTCGACAGAACTGATGTCTTTCGATAGTTGGGAAGATTTTATGTTTATCTAATTTACAATTATTACTTCAATCTTTAAAATAAAACATTTTACACCATTTAAACCAACGTTAAAGGAACTCCACTGAAAACATTTAATTTGAAAATCTTAAAGATATTAAGTTAAGCACTTAAAATGAAAACATTTGCCTAGGTTAACAAAATTTTTTTTCAAAAATTATTTGAAAATTGATTTTTTGTCGATTCTTATCGGGGAGTGAGTGATTTTTGGCTCATGTTTGAAAATATATAAGATTTATCTTGAAAAACGGGGTAAAGGAATGAGCTGAAAATTTGCACAAACGTTATTGGTACAGGACTACATCAAATGGTACACAAATCTCGGAAAATATTTCTAGACAAACCTTAGTGGAGTCCCTTTAAGAAATTACTGCGGTATATTTATTTCCATGGGATAAAATGAGTGAAATCTATGTAGTCGTACTGTACACATGTTCTTTATTTCGAAAGAACGAGAAAGAAAATATAGATAAATTGAAACAAAGCTGATATGATCTTTCATAGTAATCATTTCTTTCAACAAACAAAATTTGTCACATATACTTGTATGCATTAATATTCTGTTCTTGATACATTTATGTTTCAACGTTTTACCTGACATATACAATGTATATAAGTAAAAAAGGCATGGACTCAAATATTTGAAGCATTATGTCTTGTTAAATTTACGAAAGAAAAACTAAGCCTTTTGCCAGGAAATGTGTGGCGTTCCTTCCTTGTTAACGTTTTTATACGCAAAAACAAACGTGGTGTTGACGCGGTTATGTTTAACGTTTATAGTCGTATAAACAATTGGGTTATTAAAATGGCTTTAAAACAAATGTGTTAATTTTGCTGACAAATCATGAGCTATCATTTAGCGCTTTAAATGTATTGTTTTTATTTTAATAGTCACAAAAACAGTCTATTTAAAGTGTAAACACATACCTTTTATAACGATTTATAGGTCCATTATGAGGAAAAATAATACAGTAAATGTCCACATCCATTCTAGAGCCTGGCGTTATTTTACCATTTTACGACTTTCTGACAAGCATGTCACGTAAATTACAAATACGTTACATAATTGGGGGCTTTAAACGACAACGGATTCGTAACGTAGATATTTAAAATCACTCAAACAACACTAACTGCTATTAAAGTCAAGGAAGATATTTACAAGTGTGTCACGTTACGGGATATGTTCTAAATTGGTTTAGATTTAAGATGGAATATTATATTTATGAGTTCACACTTTAAATATGTAAATGTACATCCCGTAGGTAAAGTATGTGGCAATGAAAATTATGGTTAAGTTTATCACCGAGGACTTTCATTAAAAAAAAAACTGAATACATAATGTCTTTAAATATACCACGTATCAATATTTATGTTTATTTGATGATGATGATGATGATGGTGATGATGATGATGATGATGATGATGATGATAATGATGGTGATGATGATGATGATGATGATGATGATGATGATGATGATGATGATGATGATGATGATGATGATGTTGATGACGATGATGAAGGTAATGATGATGATGAAGATGAAGATGATGGTGATGATGATGATATTTGTTGTTGTTTGTTGTTGTCGTCGTCACTTTAAAGAAAATACGTTTCATTTACAATAATTTGACAACAAAATGTAAACATTAAAGGTGCTCAAACCTATGCACGAAGATTTGTCCGCTGCTAGAAGGTAGTCGACGGCACAGCCACACTGGACCCCATTAGGTGTGTCCGTACAATTATGTTGACATCCCCCATTTCCAGCCCTACACGTTCCTGAAAGTTACCCATAATGCATTAGTAATATAAAATATAATACAGCTTAACTTTTGCATCGTATTTCAAGCTTGATGTAGAAAAAAAAACTAAAAAAAAAACACACAAAAAAAATGATAAAATTATATTAATTCCAATGCTTTATTTTTTTGTCTCACGTGACTTTCTGCTTATATAAAGCTTTGAACTAGCGTAATACTTGTACCCTTATTATTAAATATGTAATTTAATCATAATTATAACGGCGTTTGTTGTGTGTGCGATAACGTAAAAGATATACTAAAACTTCGGTATCAACCTTACTGTACGTGACGCCAGTGGTTAACGTCTCTCTAAAAATGATGATGACGTCAATTAAATGATAAAATGCTCGCTGTAGCCCGCTTGATATTTCTTAATCAACTGATTCGCAATTTTATGATAAAACGCTGCATACTTGCTTTAAAGAGAATCCCTTAGTTTTGTATTGCTTTATAATCTCATATTCAAAAATATTTAATATGACGTCACTATTCAGCCAATGATACGTACGCAAACAATTTTTGCCATTGGAATGTAGTTTATACCCATCTCTACATGTACACACTATTGTGTTTTGCTGTGTTGTCCGACAGGAATGTTCACAACCTTGGCGCTTTTGGCACCAGCTATCTCCCACTGAAATACACAAATCATAAAGAACTACTTTTTGTCGCGCAATCATTTTTTCTACTTGTTATGAGTCCATGTATATGTCAAAGTAAATGATTAGTCAAATGGCTCCTCACAATCATGAATATATAGAGGATATTTGTTTGTTTCAGTTTAAGATCGAAAAATATTTCACCGAGTGAACACCAGATGCAATATTTTCCACGAGTGGCGTAGCCACGAGTGAAAATATAATAGCTGGGGTTCACGAGTGAAATATTATTTGATCTTACATGTAAAACAAACAAATTTTCTGTTTATTTCATGATTTTTTAACGATTTTTACACCATTTTACTGATTTTTGTCGCGTAACGTCATGCTCTTATCTTCATGACGTCATCAAATAATGACGTCACAATGTTGAAGCAAAATATAATTCCATGATTATTTTTAGATTTTAGATGTTTTTCAGCACAACGTTCGTAAATATTTACGAACTACAGTTATAACGTACATTTTTTATTATGATTGACATCATTTCCGCTGAAAAAAACATTCATTAATGATAAATATTTTATTTTTACGCCAAATATAGTTCGGCTACTGTGAAATTATATTTGGTAATCATTACTGTGAAATTATCGGAATTTAATTAACCGTTATAATTCAGTAATCTACTGCAAAACATGTAATAAACATGTATAATATTGCAAGAGATTGTTCCATATCCTAAAGAGTATTCATACTACATGCCTTTTAAAACTTGGTGAAAACTGCACACAATATACTTAATATTCTCAACATCCGAGCTCGAAAATGATAAAAAGAAGACTTTTTCTGATTTCAATATAATTTAACCGAGAAAAATGTACTTAGACTTTAGGAAAAGTAAAAAGATTCAAGATATAAGTCACAACTTACATGTTATGTGCGATTAATGATTGTTTTTTCGGTATCTATAACCATATTTCTACTGCGTTACTAACGCAGTAAACGCTAGGTTCGAGTTTTTTTACCTGATTTGGTAATTGCGAGTGATGTTTGTATATGTAATGTGTAAATTGATTCCTTTTTGTTATTTCCACCATATTTTACTTTTAAATACATTTTCAACTTTTTCATGAAAATTAGCATGAGCCTGAAGGCTCAGAAACGAAACCAATATTACATTCTTGATACATTTTTAACGATTATACATGTAAAGTCGTATCAGAGAATGCTGGGTGTTTTTCACCTGAAGAAAGTAGCAATGAATTTTAAATTATTTGCCATAAAAGTAGTGAAAGGTAAACACAGAAGTATTTTGATTTATAAACAAAACACTTAATCACTATAACAGTATTAATTTCAAAAAGGCAACAGAAGAAAAAGGCGTTCGAGGTAATTGACCAATTAGTAACATTTTTGAAACTACCGGTATAACATTGGACCAACAATAAAAACCTTTTGGAAAATAAAGCGTTTCAGGGGCATAATGGGCCTTTAAAAATGTAGCAAATATATGACGAATATCGTACTTACATTTACATTTTGTACCGTCCTCTTCCAGGGAATAACCTTGATTGCACCGGCATTCATACCCACCCACTGTATTTACACACTGGTGTTGGCACCCACCTTTATCTTTAAAACATTCATTATTATCTGAAATATGAAAAAAATAATGAAAAAACACATATTCTAACACTATCGGAATTTTTTCTATATAAACAAAGAAGGCCCGAAGCGTGCATTATTCTGCAACAATGCACTCGCCGTTCTTATTATCTCCCTGTGTATTTTCACATTGCGGGTGCCATTTTGTTTGAAAAATGTGATAAATAAAAACAATGTTTTGTCGAATTTTGTTGTGAAAACTATCTAGAATGAAAGAAAATGGTCTAACTAAGAAAATGAATCCGAACACCAATATCTTTAATTCAGTCGTTAACGCTGTACAGACGTTTAAAGTGTTGTTTACGTGACGTCACAATGTAGCGCCAAAGTGCACGTGCAAAACAATTAAAATCAAGTACGCTATTTTAATGTCGCAAGCGAGTTAAGTTTTACATCTATTACCTTTTTAATAATTTGTATTTGCTTGGAAATTTATAGACGGAAATAAAATAAACAAACAAAGTTTTATCAACGTTTTCAAAATTTGTTATTCTCAAAATGTTTCTACACACGGTAGATTTAACGACAGTTTTTTTCAACCACTGGAACAGCCTTTAAAGAACGTTTCTATTGGAAACTCTGAGGCGAAAACAAATTTAACCACCAAACATAAAGTCCAACTGTATAATAATAATTATATTTTTCTTGACGTGTTAGAATGGAAATAGATATTAATTCTTCGTGCATTATTGTATAATAATGCACGTTTTTCGTTCAAATGCTTTGTAATTAATCACTCAGGCCCATCGGCCTTCGTGATTATATTACTACGCATTTGAACTCAAACCGTGCATTATTCTACAACAATGCACTCAGAATTGATATCTATTTCCTAAGCAGAGAAATGTGTGCATCATATTCATGTGAAGAATAACAGTTTTGTTTAAAGCTGCATGTTTCCAGATGAGTCAAACTATTTAGTTTAAACAATATTTTATTTATAAGTATTACATTTACATGATAATTGACAAATAATAAATAGTACGGATTGAGTAGTAAGCTTGAAAGCTTTTTTAAAAACTCTTTCCGTCAAACTATTTCAATAACAAAAATGTACTAAGATGTAATGATAATGTTTAAATTGCTTCCTTTTGGTTACTTCACAATACAAATGTATTACACATTCAAATACATTTTCAAAATTTTCATGAAAATAAGCATGAATATGAAGGCGTACAAGTTTAATGTTTCATCATGAAATATCAAATTATAATCATAGTTAATGTGTAATTATTCTGTAACACTAACCCTACGATACCTTCATTGAACCTTATTTTATCTTATATAATCTTATTATATATGATTAAATATGAAATATGATGGTGCCATAACAAAGTCGAGCAGACCTGCTTTGTTTATAATATAACTGATAAATATAGAATTTTAGGTATGGTATGGTATCGTACGGTACGGTACGGTACGGTATGGTATGGTAATGTATGGTATGCAATTGGTATGGTATGCAATTGGTATGGTATGTTGTGTTGTGATGTGATGTGGTGTGTGGTGTGACAAAGCGTGGCGTGGTTTAGTGTGGTCCTGTGATAAAGAATATAAGATATTTTTAAATCATGTTTTATGTTGAAATATCACATAAGTTTATCAACCAGTATAGCACATTTTGTTGTAATTTAGTAAAGTATGTAATCATATTGAAGACATACCGATTAGATATCATATCGTCTTGTTTCATATCACACATTATCGTTTACCCGGTGAGAAATATACATCTTTATCATTTCATGTTTTATCTTAATATACCACTTAATGTTTCGGTCGTAAATTAATATTTATATAATATATATTATCATATCATATCACATCTAAAAGAAAGATAGGTCGCATTATTTTCTGATATGTATCTAACATTGCAATGATACGGAACGTTTTCAATTTGTCGTGCCAATAAAGTTCGTGTTAAAAGGTCATCACGTGATGAAATATCATATCACGTTACAAGATTTCGTCATTTTCATTGTAAGCCAGATTGGTTATGTTATAAGGCGGAGTAATCCGTAAAAGATACTAAACATTTGATGGTACAAAGGTTGTCTCCCTTGTATATCTTACATTATGGTCTGCATGACTGTTTAGTCCAAGTTGGCATAGGGACAAATTCGTTGAAAGATATACTATGCTCATCTTTGGGTAAAATATTTTTATCTTAGAAATGTATTGAAATCCATGAAATTCTTACTCAATATGTTTAATGTATATATGGGAAGCCGCATTTCCTATTACAAGTCGAGTAAAGCTGTCCTTTTCTTAAAAGAACTGCCAGTTTTTTTTTTTAATGACACTATATATTCATATTGTGATCACCTATAGTGTGTAGAGTTCAAAACATAATATATTTACTTTAAATGAAGTCGAAACATGTTTATTTTATACATAGAAAAATACTGTGTAGCAATTATTAATATTTTGAAAAATTAAATTTGAGCATAGTATATCTTTGAGACATTTGTCGTGGTAAGGGTTAAAATTATCAACCTCTGCAACAGCTTATCTTAAGTTATTGTATATCGAACTGCCATCCCTTGCGAAATCAAAACGGTGGTATACCACCTATTTACCTCACAGTGGCACACCTGCCATTCATCCCTTAGTACAATGTTGGAAGCTATAAACTTATTGAAACGCTCTCGAATCCGTTCCAGGAACCAACCAGTACTAAGCAAAGAATGTAAAGATCCATGCTCTAGGAAACGGCTTGCCCCTGTCGGGGTTTGAACCCACGCGGTCAGCAATCGTTAGATTACTAGTACAATGCGTTTATCACTCGGCCACGCCACCACTCTAAAAGAGTATGTAGAGTTAGTTACAGCCCTGGGCGGACTGATTCAAAATGAGAAAAACCTATCCTCATACGTACCTATACAATCTTTTTGATCCACATCTAACCGGAAACCATTTTTGCACGCGCACGTATAATTACCCTTAAGATTATGGCAAAAATGTACACAGCCACCGTTTTTATACTGACATTCATTCTTATCTGAAAATACAACAAAAATATAGAATAAAAATCAATTAAAACACGAAAAATTGAGCCAAATATCAGCACTGCCAAAACGTCACGCAAGCAAATTATAATTTGCAAATAAAAACAACAAATAGATGGAATAGAAGATTTGAGCCAAAAATTAGAATGCCAAATTATAGAAGGCAAAAATCAAACCCCAGACACAGTAATAATTTAATGTAATATCATTGGAAAATATTTTTTCAAAAAAAAAAATTATGTCTGTTTCAAAATGCCACCCTTGCGTTTAATTGCAAGTATCTTATTTGATTCTATACAGGTTATCTGTAAACCTGCAGGCAGAAGATCTCCCAATATTTCACCTACTTATAAGCCCAGACGCTTCTTCATATTTTCAAATACGATATTTTCTTTTATTGCCAGAGACACTCTGGACTTCTACGATCACTTGAAATCAACTTAGATGAAAATTTTATCCGTATCTTTCAAAACAGAAACAAAATCTATGATAGTTTTACTCAGACATTATTTTAGTAATAGTACGGAAGCCCAGCAGGGCCATTTCAACAATAAAAGAACGGCATTGCAACATATTTGTTTTTGCCGTCTTTTAAAACATGAAATAAATATTATTTTTTGAATGACAATAGTGATGTTAAAGGCACATTATGCCTCAGCAATCCATAAGTTTTTTAAGAAAATGTTTTTCTTTAGAAATGTCAAACATGTGTTTAATTATGTTTTAATTATGGATTTAGATCATGTTAGATGCTTAACAACTGAAGGTAGTGACACTGAACATGCAGTAATTAGTCGAAAAGTTAGCAAAATGTAAACAAAGTAGTATTATGACTTCCATACAAAATACTATATAAACGCTATGTTATACCAATTGTCAACAGAACAACAAAAGCAGAAGATAGTTCATCTATATGGAGAATGAATATTTTTTTGAAACTGTAACAGTGTACCAAAAATAAAACGTTTTTGAGAAATAAAAATCATGACATTTCTAAGGCGTAATGGGCCTTTAACGTTTAAAATCTTGTGTTGTTTAGACAGAAAAATTCTTTATTGAGTCGGGTATCTGTAATGTGCAATTATAACAAGAATTTAAAGATATAATTCAAGAAAAAAATAACCGAACAGTATTGGTTTAAAATTGTGTTTTAGAAGACTTGTGTATATTACGAAAACAAAAAAGGTTCAAACATTTAAAAAAAGCAATAAAATCAATATATTTGCATAAGTTAATGCAGCCCGAATGAAAATATAAAATATATCTCACTCCAAAGTGAGATATATTCAATATCTGTATTATAACGACGTTCTAATAACGAAATTAACCAGACATTACCAAAAAAAAATTAAATGACGCTTATTTGTATCCTATTTTCAAACAGAAAGGGGCAAAATTAGAAAGTCAAAAAAACGCGTAAAATTCATTTTGTGGAGTTCCTTTAAGATTAAGAAAAAGATCAATTAACTGTACTACAACTAAAAGGCACCTACCTACACATTTATGTCCATCCCCATAGAACCCCTTTTTACATTTACACCGAGACGCTCGCACTGAGTCTATACAATCTGCGTCGTGATGGCACTGTAATGTTCCTTTTGCACATTCGTTCCCTGAAATAGACGTTCATAAGTATAAATAATGTGAATAAATAAAAATGTTTCGCATATATATAAATACTATGCATAAATATAAAAAAAATATGCATAAATATAAATATTGTGCATACATGTAATTACTGCGCATAAATATAAATAATGAGCATAATTTTAAATTATGTGCATAATTACAAATAATGTGCATAATTATAAATAATGTGCATAAATGTAAACATTGTACATTATTATAAATACTGCGCATTAATAAAAATAATGTGCATATTATACATAATGTGTATAAATATAAATACTGTGCATAAATATAAACACTGTGCATTAATATAAATAATGTCATAAAATAAATAGTGTGCATAATAAAAATAGTGTGCATAATATGAATACTGTGCATAAATATAAATAATGTAAATAATTATAAATACTTTGCATATTATTAATTCTGTGCATAAATATAAATACTGTGAATAAATATAAATACTGAGCATAAATACAAATACTGTGCATACATATAAATAATGTGCATAAATATAAATAATGTGCATACATAAAAATAATGTGCATAATTATAAAAAATATGCATAAATATAGATACTGTGCATAATCATAAATACTGTGAGTACAATATGAGTTATATTTCACTGAGCCAAGAACATTCTAATACACACATTCTAGATGTCTTTAATAAACATTGTATATGATTAATATTTCACTGAGAAGTGAAATTGTTTTGTTTTTTTTGTTGTTTTTTTCAGTTTTTTTTTTCGTTGACTAAAATTGATATCATTTAATATAGTGTTTTCATTGTTCTTGTCTAGTAAGATTTGCAAATAAACAACTATTTTTCAACACATCGAGTTATGACGTTTTTCAATTATGACGTTTTTAATTAGATATGAATAATATCTGTGAGTTTTAAGAACCTTAAATAGATTCATTCAAACAAACAGAGAAATGTTTTTTGTGGAAACATGTGAGATATCTCGTAGAAAAATGAAATCTTGAGCATTCGTTAACTGAAATAAACATGTTCAAATATAGCAACTTAATTTTTAATGAAATTACATTAATTTTGTTCTTATCGTAAAATGCATTATATCTTATTAATAAATGAAAAGAAAATGTTTATATTACGCATTGAAATAAATAAATATAGATCTACAGGCTACAGCTGTTAGACCTGTTAAAGTTCATTCCGTTGGGTAAAAAGGGAAGATTTTAGCATTTTATCATTCAAGCTCCTTGTCCGGTATATACGGGAATACGGTATTTAGTGTGGTGCTCCAATCCTTTTCTTAGTCTCATTCCTTCAAATGACGCTAATTTATATGACGTTCCCGTGTAGTCATGGACGTCTTATTTGCTATGTCTTTCAATGTATAAACGGGAACCAAAATTATACATTTCATTCAGTTTAAAACAGTATGATAGGATTAATATCTTACTATGGTATTTAACTATCTCACCAAAACATTATATACTGTGAATTCACTTAATTTCGTTGGCTTTTGTCACAATGAACATTTTCGTGGGTTCTTAAATTCGTGGACTGTTTCTTTTTTTTCCAAAAGATAAAAGTAAATAATGGGATGCTAAATAATCTTGCAGCAGACGGAAAAAAAATTCGTTGGATCTTAAATTCGTGGATTGACCTATCCACGAAAACCACGAATACATGTATGAGTTCCCCACGAATGATATATAATGACTCTGCAGTATATAAACATATATAAAAGATAAATACATCAATGAAATTACATGTCTGGGGATATTGTACTTATCAAGTACTTTCGAAAAGTCACATGAGGTCAGGCAGTAAGACAGCCTTTAAAAGTCACAGGTTTTATAACATAACAATTTCCCCTGACCTACCAACGACCTTAAGCAGACGACATAGGCGTTTAATTGTACAAAAATATTACAAATAATAAACCACTTAGCTAACCAACAAATGACCGCGCGAATTATCACCCCTTACTTTGGTTTTGAATTTATGTGTGTATTTTTGTTGCTATTATTGTTGTTGTGGTGGTGGTGGTGGTGGTCATGGTTTTTTTTTTTTCTCGTAACGCGACGGCAATAAGATACCTTATGATCATAGTATGATGTGACGTAATTTCCGTGTGTTTGTCGCGCTGCTTTAGGTTTCACCTGTGTACGGCGCCCGCATAGCTCATTTATATTTAAAAAAAAGTCGTGGATCACCGATTTGGTGACAATTGAACTCCGACGTTGCGTCTAAAATTTGGAAAAAAAATATTTTTCAAATTATCTCTTTTTTTCAAATTTTCTTTTTTTAATCGAAGTATATCTAATCGAGAAGTTTTGAGCAGAGTTTTATTCGAGAAGAAGGTACCTTAATTCAAACTGATAGCGATAAAATATCGTATCCATTAGGTGTTGTGTATACATGTATATTGGTCAGAGGATAACAAAATAAATAAAAGCTCTAAAATGTATTGAAAATGTCGTGGAATTCTCTTTTACATTTGAGTTCGTATGATAGATCTATATAATGTAAATTTAAATAAAGAAATCAACTCCCATTTCAATTTAAAAAGTGAAATGTAACACAAATGTGTAATGTTTTATTTGAAAAAATATACAATTTTCCACTCAAAAGTCTTCATCACAGGAAATGACGTCATATATAATCGCATTTTATTCGTTTGGCTAAGATTTGTGAATTACACAGTTTTATTCGTTTTGATTACTTTTTATATTTCTAATAATTGGTGTTTGAAATAAAACGGTATTTCAAACTGAATAAGTCAGACGTGTTTATGATTTTAATCTAGACGTAAAGACAGGATAAGATAACAGAAACATCTAACTTCAGACTCCACACATCGTCTCAGTAGTTTGTTTGTTTTGTGTGCCAATATTGCATTTTGTTTGTTCATTTATTTTGTTAGGGGTTTACATACAAACAGACACGGTAAAAGACGTCCCTGCTGTACTTGTGAAGTCCCCGAAGTCCCCTCTGTGCATCTCAGATACATCCGGGTACCTGATCAGAACCAATCAACTCTTTGTACGCTAGTTTGATAACTTCCTTTAATAGATGAATCTAAAGTCACTGGCAGGATTCAATAGTAAGGGGTTAGATATTCGAAGCCAGAGACTTTAACCACATGAACACGAAGGCGACAACTTTCATGATTATGATTTTTGGAAAACGTATAATTTTCAAGGCCCTCAAAAAAAGAGACCTGAAGGTCCAAGGTGACTTAAAATGTTCATGATGGTCAGCCTTTAAGTATTTGTGTTCACTTTACTTTACACGTGTACAACTAAAATTGAAATTCACCAAAGAGAAATGAATTTCTGCTCAAATTTGCGACAAACGAAAATAATTCTAAAAATGGCGATATTAGTATTAATTCATTATCACTTTCGTTTAAAGACATATTTGTCTTTTATTTATATTCCATCATAAATAGAGAGATCAATAACTGGTCGTTGATAACAAGTGGTCTCTCGAAATGAGAATTTAAAAGAATCAGTAAGTAAATTAAGAGTTAAATAATACATGTATTATTTTTTCAATATCTAGTCTTCAATCGGGGATGATCCATATATTTAACTTGCATCATTTCTTGAATGTTCAGGATTCAGTCCACATTATAATTATATACATTGTATATACAGATGTGCAGACTGACCTGGATTTATACTTGTGATACAAGTTGGTCATTTCCGGTTCCAGCAGGTTCAAGTGTTAACATGGGTTTAGCACTATTTTATTTTCTCCTCCAACTGAGCACAGTGGTAAAACTGTCCGACTGATCGCGAGTTCAAATCCGCCCTAATCCATGTAAAAGTCTTTTTAGTTTTATTTACGTGAAACTTTCTAACCGATGTCCCTATGTATAATGGTACTTAACCCTTAAATGTTAAAGAACCACTGGACTCTTATATGCAGCCATTTCTGTATCAGTCCCACTTTATCAAAAAACAAAACAAAACAAAACAACAACAACAGCAACAACAACAAAACCAACAAGAACAAAAAAAGACCACACAGTCTTTCTGGAGGATAGGGTAGGGGAAGAGGTCACCCTTGTGGATTTTCCTTAATGCATACCATACATATGTACTCTATTGTACGTTCAATAATACATTTGAATTTAAACAGAAAATATTTCGTTTATTTTAAAAACATTCATTTGTTTGAAGTAACTAGCATTTAATATGTTTCCATTTTTACAAAACACTTGTAACACTATTCTTACACTCTTTAATAAATCTGGCAGATTTTCAAAGTAAGCTGTTATAAATAATAGTGTTTTAAAGTGAATAAAAACATAGAAAATCAAAGGCTTCACACGTGAGACGATATCGTGAAAAACGTGAAAAATAAACGCGTCATGGCTTTAAACATGAATAAAGCAATTTAAAGCGATTAAAGCGGCCTTCAGTTTGTTGTTGTTGTTGTTGTTGTTGTTGTTGTAGTTGCTGCTGCTGTTGTTTTTGTGGAAAAAAATCCAGTGTTGTTTCAAAAAAAGTATTTCAATAATTTTATCTTGAAAAAAGTGCATCATATCACTGTTTAGTCTGAGCGAGAGCTATTTATAGCTGTTCAGTGACGTTCATTTCTAAAATTAGAAAATCGGGAAACAAATCGTCCGCTTTACTAATTTACATATAGAGAGGGGACCAGTAGACTAGAGTTATCGAAAGGTTTCCTTACTGTTTATGTAATTTATGGGCGGCAAATTTCATTTATGAAGCAATAGATCTCAAACTAACACAATTAACCTTTTAGAAAAGCTGAAGGCAGCTTTAAACAGATCTTTAAGGCTAATCATTTTATTTATATATAAGAAAAAATCATGATGTAACAAATATACTACGTAAAGATGGAAGAATTTTGAGAATCTTAAGCTTAAAAAACACAGGGGGCCCACACAGTGTTTGGATGGTATAATATTATACTGCTTGATGGTGACCTTAAAATGAGATTTTAGTCATAACCTTATAATATGTATATGAATATT